CTAGAAAATAGTAGTCTCTTTCCCTAAAATCTGTTCCTCAGCAGGAGTCTTTTCCTCTTTAGCAGAGTAGATTGCAAGTGGGCATTGGTAATCAGTCCACCTACTTCTCACCACCTTTTATATTTCAGGAAGCATATGGAGGCTGACACATTTCCTGACGTATACTCAAAAATTACATCAGTTTGGATCCAGGGCGACTGATTATCAACACGAAGCTACAGGCAACTCACAATCTCTTGCTGTGCTCCCTATAGCCCTGCCCAGGGAGGCACCACTGCACCAGGGAGCTGTCCAGTGCCTGGGACTGAGCCCCTCACCAGGCCTGATCCTGATCCCACCAGCAGACTGACATCCTGTCCTTGCCTCTTTGGAGGGAGGGAGCTAAGATTTGTGGCAAATTAGAAGTTAAAATGAGCAAACAAGTTAATTGCATTTTGAATAGCTTTGTTTTTTACCCTATGAAATTAGATGAATCATCTCTGAACCATTTTTCTGCTGACAGGAAATGGTGAGAGTTAACACATATAGCTGGGCCTCAGCAGGAGAAGGGGAGAAAACATGAATCAGACAAAAACTGGAGGATTCAAGTAACTGTATTTTTGAGAATTTTGAATAAGTGGCTGTCGGTTCTCCTGTTTCCAAAATGGGTTTTACATGTTTGGGAAAAGCATGGTGATGTGAAATGAATAACTGCAGTGCAGTTAAGTGTTCATGTGGAAAAGTCATAAGGAAGAGGAGGAATAGGAGATAAAGTTCAAGAAATATTTTCATCAGTGTGAGAACAAACAGCTGAACACAGAAACTCTGTAAGGTGCTCTTCCTAAGTCTTGTAATGTCATCTGTGGTGGATGCTATGCTTTGTCCCCTAGAGCCAGGTTAACTAGCACAAAAGAGTCATGCAATAATCAAGAAGTTACCCTAATCTTGCAAAAATTGCTTGTTGCCTTTCAGACATTATGTTTAGTACAATATCTTTTTGCAAATTAGTAGCCATATGTTACTGGTTTTAATAATGTATACTTTTCATGTTGTCTGGGAAGTTCTCTAAGGGAGCTTTCAGATCTGGTCTTTATCTCATTGATAGCAGCTGCAAAAAATTGTTTTGTAGGATTTGAGGACAGATTTTTGTTTGACCAGATATCTCTGATATATACGGTCCATACTGGACAGTGCATGCAGAGATCGACAGCCTGGAATACCACTGAGATCCTGTGGTTCTTGGTGTCCACCTCTTCTAAGGTGAGGTAGCAAAGCTTGCTGTAATTGTGATGGCAAATGCATTAGGAGGAAGGGAGAATCTCTCCCAGCAAACATCCTCCCTATCTGTTCTTTTTAATATCTGCATTGCAGGGAAACATTTACTATTTCCATGTATCTTAGATAAGCTTGATCATGACTAGAGGAATGACCTCTGGTGCGTAACTTCAGGTTTTCATGTTGGTAATCACACAAATAATCGAAGTATTTGGGGGACGAGGGTGAACCATAAACTACAGTCCTTGTATATTCAGTACTGAATGAGGTGACACTGTATTCAGATCTCCCTGTATGCCTTGATTTTTCTCTGATACTTCTGCATCCTCCCCCTAATAAACATGACTTGACTGCTAGTATGTGAAATGGTCACAAAGATAGCAAACAATGGAGTAAACACATATGTAGAAAATCAGATAAGTAGAAGCCCCTAAAATAATTACAAAAAAATAGCATCAAGTTGCAAAATGGCCATGTAGTATTTGATACAGAATGATAAACTCAAAAGTGGAGTGAGACAAGAAGTACAATGATGTGCTGCAATGTTGCTCTGGCATACACTGAGGGTTTTTCCTCTGGAGATGGTTGGTGTTGTAGCTGTCACTGCTATACAAGATTTAAACATAAAGCTGTACTCCAGCTGACTATGTGTGTATAAGGAGAACAGTCTTGAGAATATCAAGTCACAGTTTGGAGGAAAGTGTTGGAGGAAAGTGCTATTGTGGTGCATTGTTAGTCTTGTAAAATAAAAGTTACATAGAATGGGGAAAATTTTTTTATTCTGAAGTACAAAAGCTTCTGTCCCAACACAAGTATTGGCATTGGTAATTGAGAAGAGTTGGGGAGTATAAAAAGCTTCATCTTAGACACACTGTAACAAGTTTAGTTTTTAAAGGACATCATGGATTTTACCAGACCTAGATGGGAAGGAGCACACATACACTCATCCACCTGATTTCTGGAAACTTTAGGGGATGTTAATAATTTCACTATTCAGTTCTTTATGTCCCCTACTACTACATGGAATAAATGTGATACAGTCAAGTCTCTTGTCTTTATAATATTCCCAGTCAACCTTGCTCATCCCACTTCCAATATACTTTGAAAGCCCAGATCCAGATTTGCTGAATTTGTTGTCTTATTCACCCTCTGCCTCAGTCATACCTTCTCAGCTAGGGGACTTCAATGAAAAGGAAGAGTTAGAAAGAAAACATAAGTGAGAGAGAAAAATGTGTCTGTTTTCCTAAAGTCCTTTTTACCATAATTATAAAAGAAAAGGTCAAAGTGCTGAATAAGGTTTTTTTTGAATGGGACTTTGTGAATTCATGGTCTTCCAAAATCGTCAAGAGAAGAGGTTAATTTTACTGCCCGGTGGTGGAATGAGAAAGAGGAGTGAGATGATATTTTTCCACTTACAGATTTTGCATTTTATTCAGGGACCTGGTTGGCACCATACCTGAACTGTGCCAGTGCAGTTTGTCTACATCAGGTACAAAACCAGCAATCTGACAGTGCTAAGCTATCTGATGGCCATTAAACTTCATGGTAAATGAATTAGGAACTGCTGACAGAGACACAAAAATACATCCACAGTTTTAGGTGATAAGAAGGTATGCGTGCTAATAGAGCAGTCACCTCATCATGGATAAAGAGCTTTGCATCACTTTGTGCTGCAGCCAAAGCTTTTATGTACAGAAACTGCTGTGACTTGATCTGGAACCTGGCAAAAACTGCGATTTTTCTTTCCAGCTTGGGATGAAAATATGAATAAAATGGTGCTTTCACGTCTTTTGCAGATTCAACTTCTGCCAATTTTTTTTTCCCTGTTAGTGAATCGTATGAACAGATTTTACAGATTTAGACTTGTGTGCTTTATTTAGAGTGTTTTTTCTTCTTGTGCCAAAGACTTACATGAAGCTCTGTGGTCAGACAAAAACCTTTCAATCTTTGGTCTTCATGTGCCAAATTATTCCACTGATATTAGAGAGCCTTTTGGTATGTTAACAATAGCCGAGGGTTTCAGAGAAGGTAGCCCATTCTGAGGTGGATAAAGTATGTGCTGTGCAACATGTCATGCATGGCAGTGTGGAAAGTCTGGAAACTTTAGGTTTGGAAGTACGGGAAAGAAATATCCCTAAATGAGTGTTTCACGGTTGTCAGAGGTACAAACCTCTGAAGGAGAAGCAGCGGCATAGCTTGCGAGTGTTGGCGCTACCTCACTCTCTTCGAAACAATTTTATTTTAAAGAATGAAATTCTAACTGTTTGCTTTCCTATCTAACGTAAAAAGGACCCCCTAAAGATTAAGACTGAGTTTCCTGACTCATGTTAACTTTAAAGGACAATCTCTAATTTACAAAGAAAAACAAAACTTTTGCTCTCTCGAGGTCCGTTTAGCGTCAGGACTCGGGATTTCTTGTCTCCTAGGTAAGCAAATGCCTATTTTTTCGCGAGGAGACACCAACAGGAGAAAAGAGCCGCTTCCACGGCCTCACCGATGTAGAAAAGGGGCGATGTTGTGACAGATGAAGGAATGAGCCCAAGAAACATAAGCGGGAGCTCAGAGCGCCGGGCGGGGCGGGGCGGCCGGAGCCAATCAGCGCCCGCCGCGCTGCTATAAAAGGGGCGGCTCCGCGGCCGCCGCGGGAGCGCAGGGAGTCAGTGCCATGTCCGAGACCGCCCCGGCTGCCGCCCCGGCCCCCGCCGCCAAGGCCGCCGCCAAGAAGCCGAAGAAGGCGGCGGGCGCTTCCAAAGCCCGCAAGCCCGCGGGGCCCAGCGTCACCGAGCTCATCACCAAGGCCGTGTCCGCCTCCAAGGAGCGCAAGGGGCTCTCCCTCGCCGCGCTCAAGAAGGCGCTGGCCGCCGGCGGCTACGATGTGGAGAAAAACAACAGCCGCATCAAGCTGGGGCTCAAGAGCCTCGTCAGCAAAGGCACCCTGGTGCAGACCAACGGCACTGGCGCCTCCGGCTCTTTCCGCCTCAGCAAGAAACCTGGAGAAGTGAAGCAAAAGGCTCCTAAGAAGAAAACAGCCACAGCCAAGCCCAAGAAGCCGGCGGCTAAGAAGCCGGCCAGCGCCGCCAAGAAGCCCAAGAAGGCGGTAACAGCGAAGAAGAGCCCCAAGAAAGCCAAGAAGCCGGCGGCCAGCGCGGCCAAGAAAGCAGCCAAGAGCCCCAAAAGGCGACAAAGGTCGCCAAGCCCAAAAAAGCGGTGGCAGCAGCGAAGAGTCCAGCGAAGGCAAAGGCGGTGAAGGCGAAAGCAGCAAAGCCGAAGGCTGCCAAGCCGAAAGCAGCGAAGGCGAAGAAGGCAGCCCCCAAGAAGAAATAAGCCCCCCGTGGAAGAAAAGGTCGTTCTCCACACTTTAACCCAACGGCTCTTTTCAGAGCCACCCACCTTTTCTTAGAAGGGCTCAAATGCTGCTTGCCGCTGTTTTGTGGAAGGAGTAACGGGAAATGGGGAATGGTGGTGTGCTGGTGCCGTTTTATTTCGGGAACGGCCAGACTGACCAGCGAGAATCAGGGTCGCTCTTAAACTTTCTCTCTGCATAGAAAGGGGAGGGAAACAACGCGCTGGTAGCTTTGTAATGCCGATACGGCATTCGGATTGGGTACGGCTACGGGAAGGCTGATCTGCTTCCTGGGAGCGCTGACAGCCCCGCCCCGAGCCGGGTTGGTTTGAGCACGGACCTGTGGCTCGTGCTAACTATATGAAATAATTTTAAAATGTACCCTGCACGTTTGACACTTTAGTGAAGTTCAGGCTCTTTTTTTGAGTTTGTAGGTGGCTCTGAAAAGAGCCTTTGGGTTTCTGTTGCTTAAGTCTTCCTGGGCGTTGTTCTTCGGCGTTTACTTGGCTTTGGCCTTGTGGCTGTCGGTCTTCTTGGGCAGCAGCACGGCCTGGATGTTGGGCAGCACGCCGCCCTGCGCGATCGTCACCTTGCCCAGCAGCTTGTTGAGCTCCTCGTCGTTGCGGATGGCGAGCTGCAGGTGGCGGGGGATGATGCGCGTCTTCTTGTTGTCGCGGGCCGCGTTGCCCGCCAGCTCCAGGATCTCGGCCGTCAGGTACTCCAGCACGGCCGCCAGGTACACGGGCGCGCCGGCGCCCACCCGCTCGGCGTAGTTGCCCTTGCGCAGCAGGCGGTGCACGCGGCCCACGGGGAACTGCAGCCCGGCCCGCGACGAGCGCGACTTGGCCTTGGCCCGCGCCTTCCCGCCCTGCTTCCCGCGACCGGACATCGCAGCGATTCAGCACTCGGCGCTCGCAGCACACCCGCAGCAGCCTCGGTGAGCCCGGGCTCGGCCCGCCCGCCGCCTTATATACAACCCGGGCGGAGCGGCAGCGCCTGCTCCGATTGGCTGCCAGACGGGAATCGCTCGGCAGCCAATGGGAACGCGAATTCAGAAGGCTCCAATGGCAAAGCTGGGCACGGGGTGACGACGCCAAGCCGAGCCAATCGCGCCGCGCCGCTGCGAACAGCGCCGCTATAAAAGCGGCTCCCGCGGCCGCCGCGCCACCGTCGGTTCCCGGTTGTGTTTCGTTGTGTGTTGCGGCAGTCGCGAGTTCGCAGCCATGCCCGAGCCGGCCAAGTCCGCGCCCGCGCCTAAGAAAGGCTCCAAGAAGGCGGTGACCAAGACGCAGAAGAAGGGCGACAAGAAGCGCAAGAAGAGCCGCAAGGAGAGCTACTCCATCTACGTGTATAAGGTGCTGAAGCAGGTGCACCCCGACACGGGCATCTCGTCCAAGGCCATGGGCATCATGAACTCCTTCGTCAACGACATCTTCGAGCGCATCGCCGGCGAGGCGTCTCGCCTGGCGCACTACAACAAGCGCTCCACCATCACGTCGCGGGAGATCCAGACGGCCGTGCGGCTGCTGCTGCCCGGCGAGCTGGCCAAGCACGCCGTGTCCGAGGGCACCAAGGCTGTCACCAAGTACACCAGCTCCAAGTAAGCTACTCCTGCAGCCTCCCCCGTGCCAGACCTCCTTGACCCAAAGGCTCTTTTAAGAGCCACCCACCTTTTCAATAAAAGAGCTGACGCTGTGGTCACTTGTTCACTGGCCCATATTTATTTATGGGAAAAGGGTATTAACGGAGTGAAAACAGTGTAAAAATGTAAGGAAAGCGGGATCTCACTTGTTTGCAATAGCCAATGCGTTGTGGAGCACCTGCCTTCCTGGAGCAGAAAAAGCTCGTGAATTGCTTACAATAGTGTGGGAGCACACTTCATTTTTGTGTACGGTTTGGGGGCGGTGGGTCAAACAATAAACGAATGCTGTTTCGTGTCGTAAAACGCCCCAAACAAACGTATCACGAAAAGCGGGTATATGGTGTTTCCTCGTGAGGTACGCGGGCGGGAGGCCGTATGCATCGGGGACATCAAAAGCTCAGGTGGTTATAGCAGAGCCTGGGAGGTTGTTAATAGGTTTTTTAGTTTTTGAGAAAGAGCTTGGGATCGAGGCGCGTCCCCTTCCGAGACCAATGCACGGTCTCGAGGACGGCCGGGGGAAGCAAAGCGCAGCCCTTCTCGGCGCTGTGGTCCCCGAGCTGCGTAGCCCCGGCCGTGGCGGCGACCACAGGCTACCCGGAACGGCTCTTCCCCGGTGCCGCCCGCTTCTCCCTCCACCGCCCCGCGACCCGTCAATCCCGCTGCTGCCGCCGCCGGGCGCTGGAGCCGGTGGGGCAGAGCCGGAGCCGCGCGGCCGCCGGGCTCGGTCGGACCTGGGTGAGGACTGCGCGGCGCTTCCCCGCGGGCGGGGCCGACGCGGCTCTCGAGGGGGCGGTGATTGATGGCGCTCGTGGCCCTTCCTCGCTCGCCCAGGACGCGCTCGCCGCAAGAGAAGCGCGGCTGGAACCCTGGCGGGGGAGCAGCCAGGAGAGGTTGGGCTGGCGCGAACGCTCGGCTGCCACCCGCGCCTTCGGCCCTCCTGCCGCGGCCCCGAACCCAAGGCGGCTACTGAGCGGGAAAAAACGGCGAGCCGTCACGAGCGAGAAGGCGGTTGCCGACGGGAGCTTTTACCAGCGCTCCCGCTGCCGGGGGCGGGCGAGAGGGGGAGCGGATTTGGAAGAGGCCGAGCGCGAGGCGTGCGTGGGCGGCGAGCCCTCGTTGCGGTACTGGCCTCCGGTGGTTGCCGCCACCCCTCTGCCTTCCAAACGGCCGTTGGTGGCGGCGGGAGCCGGCGCTAAAGCGTTACAGAGCGCCGGCAACGAGCGGGCGGCGGGGCCGGGGCGGGCAAGGGGAGGTCGGGCCGGGCCGGGGCGGCGGGGCAGGGCGGGGCAGGGCGGGGCAGGGGCGGGGCGGGCTCCCCGCGCGAGAGGCGCGCGCTGTTCCCGGGCTCTCGCGAACGGTCCAATGGCAGGCGGGCGGTGTCGCGCGGCGACCAATGGGCAGGGAGCTGTGGCTATAAATAGGGCGGCAGCGGCGCGGCGGCCGCAGTGTCGGTGGTGCCGAGCGCGTTCGGGTGTTTGTCTGCGGAGCGATGGCGCGCACGAAGCAGACGGCGCGTAAGTCGACGGGCGGGAAGGCGCCCCGCAAGCAGCTGGCCACCAAGGCGGCCCGCAAGAGCGCGCCGGCCACGGGCGGCGTGAAGAAGCCGCACCGCTACCGGCCCGGCACGGTGGCGCTGCGCGAGATCCGGCGCTACCAGAAGTCGACGGAGCTGCTGATCCGCAAGCTGCCCTTCCAGCGCCTGGTGCGCGAGATCGCGCAGGACTTCAAGACCGACCTGCGCTTCCAGAGCTCGGCCGTCATGGCGCTGCAGGAGGCCAGCGAGGCCTACCTGGTGGGGCTCTTCGAGGACACCAACCTGTGTGCCATCCACGCCAAGCGCGTCACCATCATGCCCAAGGACATCCAGCTCGCCCGCCGCATCCGCGGAGAGCGTGCCTAAGCCTCCTGCCGCAGCCCTTCCCTGGCAGGGCACGGAGGCAGCCCATACAGACCCAAAGGCTCTTTTAAGAGCCCCTATATGCTCAATGAAAAGAGCTGTATTGCTGGTTAAAACCGCTATAGAATTACTGTAGATGTAGAGAAGTGAAAAGTCCAAGCGATCAAATATCCTTATTTTAGTTTGAAGACGATAATTTGTGCGACAGGCACTACATGATTTTTTTAAGTATATGCATAAGACAGCTCTTTAAACTATCCTTGTAAGTAATTTTCCTGCTGCAGTTTTTTCTTGATGTAGCAAAAGAGTTAAAAGTGCAGAGTTCCTTGTCTCTTTTCCTAATCACGCCCATCTCTTCTCCCTCGAGGGTTAGTAGAGTCAGCCAGTCAAAGGGATGTAAATTCCTCCATTCTGTCTGAGGCCCTCTGCTTGCCACTCTTCAACGAATATATTACCCTCACATTTCCTCTTTGATGTTGTCTCCCTTCCCCACCCAGTGTTCATAGAGCACCTTTTACACCCCTCCAGTATTTGCAAAGGACTGCAGACGAATTGCAAAGAAAATTTAGAGCCATTTATAGTTCATAAAAGGTAATTGTCCATGAGCAGGATGCTCAGTAAAATGAGACACTAAAAACAAAAACAAAACACCAAACGTTAAAGTCTATAAAATATTACATACGCCTGGTTCTTTCAAAGCAGCACTACAGGTCTTTTCATTGTGCACTCAGTGGCTCTTAAAACAGCCTTTGGGTCTGCCTGGCTGCTGGGGAAGGGCTGTGGCTCTTTTGAGAGCCACCAATTCTTCCATTTCCAGATTACTCACCTGTCTTTTCTGTCGGTTTTAACTTTTTGGACCTCTATGTCTTTCTAGATCTTTTAAGTCCCACTTGTATAGTGTCCTTTGGAAACAGTTTTTACATCAGTAATTGCAGTTTTTCGTATATTTCTGAGGGGCCCGACACTGCAAAACGTGAAGTGACAGAAGTTTCAAAAACTCCCGTATGGGGGCAGCAGGGGCCAAGAAATCACTTTAAATGAATGCAACTCTGTTCTGAAGACATTAAACTATTAGTGGGATCCTTAGAATAATGAAACGAAATACTAGCAAACAGCTTAGTTAATCATTTAAGACATATACTTAAAAGACCTTGTTTCCCCAGATTGGGAAGACCAACGAACTGTAGGCCTTAAAAAAGAAACGTCGATTGGCATGTATGTATCTTTGAAAACATGTGCATGGTGTGAGAATAGGAAGAAGGGTTGACCAGGGTTGCAAAGACTCGGGGAGAAAACATAAATTAACAGCAAGCAGGATGTGGGTGGCACCCCTAGGGTACCCCACAGAGAGCTGGCAACTGAAGCAGCCCACATACAACAGGCAAACCGCGCCAGAGAAAACAGTCAAGATACAAGCGTGAAAACTAATAGGTTTTCGATACAGTTTCTGTTAACACTGAACTATTTAAATCATTAAAATTGAACGTTGACAATTGAGTAAATTAGATAACATGCTTCAAGTAAAACTGCGAAAAAATAGAAATTAAAGCTCTTTTCACTGAAAATTTGGGTGGCTCTTAAAAGAGCCTTTGGGTTAAACAGTATTTCAAGCAGGTATTTACTTGGAGCTGGTGTACTTGGTGACAGCCTTGGTGCCCTCGGACACGGCGTGCTTGGCCAGCTCGCCGGGCAGCAGCAGCCGCACGGCCGTCTGGATCTCCCGCGACGTGATGGTGGAGCGCTTGTTGTAGTGCGCCAGGCGAGACGCCTCGCCGGCGATGCGCTCGAAGATGTCGTTGACGAAGGAGTTCATGATGCCCATGGCCTTGGACGAGATGCCCGTGTCGGGGTGCACCTGCTTCAGCACCTTGTACACGTAGATGGAGTAGCTCTCCTTGCGGCTCTTCTTGCGCTTCTTGTCGCCCTTCTTCTGCGTCTTGGTCACCGCCTTCTTGGAGCCTTTCTTAGGCGCGGGCGCGGACTTGGCCGGCTCGGGCATGGCTGCGAACTCGCGACTGCCGCAACACACAACGAAACACAACCGGGAACCGACGGTGGCGCGGCGGCCGCGGGAGCCGCTTTTATAGCGGCGCTGTTCGCAGCGGCGCGGCGCGATTGGCTCGGCTTGGCGTCGTCACCCCGCGCCCAGCTTTGCCATTGGAGCCTTCTGAATTCGCGTTCCCATTGGCTGCGGCGCGATTCCCGTCTGGCAGCCAATCGGAGCAGGCGCTGCCGCTCCGCCCGGGTTGTATATAAGGCGGCGGGCGGGCCGGGCCGGGGCTCATCGAGGCTGCTGCGGGTGTGCTGCGAGCGCCGAGTGCTGAATCGCTGCGATGTCCGGGCGCGGGAAGCAGGGCGGGAAGGCGCGGGCCAAGGCCAAGTCGCGCTCGTCGCGGGCCGGGCTGCAGTTCCCCGTGGGCCGCGTGCACCGCCTGCTGCGCAAGGGCAACTACGCCGAGCGGGTGGGCGCCGGCGCGCCCGTGTACCTGGCGGCCGTGCTGGAGTACCTGACGGCCGAGATCCTGGAGCTGGCGGGCAACGCGGCCCGCGACAACAAGAAGACGCGCATCATCCCCCGCCACCTGCAGCTCGCCATCCGCAACGACGAGGAGCTCAACAAGCTGCTGGGCAAGGTGACGATCGCGCAGGGCGGCGTGCTGCCCAACATCCAGGCCGTGCTGCTGCCCAAGAAGACCGACAGCCACAAGGCCAAAGCCAAGTAAACGCCGAAGAACAACGCCCAGGAAGACTTAAGCAACAGAAACCCAAAGGCTCTTTTCAGAGCCACCTACAAACTCAAAAAAAGAGCTAAATTGCTTTTAAGCGGTCTTAAAAAATTATTTAGGTAATGCTCATGGTACTTCTTAAAGCATGTTACATAAATGACTTTTTCTTTCGTTCTTTTCCTTTCACTACAAAATATCTCCATCCTCCCCCTAGCGCAGCCTCACACACTGAAAAAGAAATGTTAAAGCACCGATCATACAGACAGGGTACACCATTAAGTAGCTGAGTACTGAAGCCGCCCTGAAACCAATTCACAATCCACAGGATTGAACGACCTGTCAGTTTCGTAGGAAGGTAGCGATTAGCACAGCAACCAGGGGCATTGGCCAGGTTTTTCAGTTATGGCACATGTTGTATGAGGTTTCACGCGGGACACACCATACCAAAACTGAATTTTAAGACAAATCTTATTTCAGCTCCTTTCGAGAAACTTTGGGTGGCTCTTAAAAGAGCCGTTGGGTTTAGGTGCGGTGACTTGTCCACAGGGGGCTTATTTCTTCTTGGGGGCTGCCTTCTTCGCCTTCGCTGCTTTCGGCTTGGCAGCCTTCGGCTTTGCTGCTTTCGCCTTCACCGCCTTTGCCTTCGCTGGACTCTTCGCTGCTGCCACCACTTTTTTGGTCTTGGCAACCTTTGTCGCCTTTTTGGGGCTCTTGGCTGCTTTCTTGGCCGCCGGTTTCTTGGCTTTCTTGGGGCTCTTCTTCGCTGTTACCGCCTTCTTGGGCTTCTTGGCGGCGCTGGCCGGCTTCTTAGCCGCCGGCTTCTTAGGCTTGGCTGCGGCTGTTTTCTTCTTAGGAACCTTTTCCTTCACTTCTCCAGGTTTCTTGCTGAGGCGGAAAGAGCCGGAGGCGCCAGTGCCCTTGGTCTGCACCAGGGTGCCTTTGCTGACGAGGCTCTTGAGCCCCAGCTTGATGCGGCTGTTGTTCTTCTCCACATCGTAGCCGCCGGCGGCCAGCGCCTTCTTGAGCGCGGCGAGGGAGAGCCCCTTGCGCTCCTTGGAGGCGGACACGGCCTTGGTGATGAGCTCGGTGACGCTGGGCCCCGCGGGCTTGCGGGTTTTGGAAGCGCCCGCCGCTTTCTTCGGCTTCTTGGCGGCGGCCTTGGCGGCGGGGGCCGGCGCGGCGGGCGCTGCCTCAGCGGCCGGGGCGGGCGCGCCGTCGGACATGGCGATGCTGCGCGGACGCGGCTGCCCCGGCCCCGGCTGTGCCGCCTTTTATAGCAGCGCGGCGGACGCTGATTGGTGCGCTCGCGAGCCCGCCCCGCCCCCCGCCCGCTCCTGCCGCTCGGCTTGTGTTTCTTCCTTCCAAAAAAAGTGTATTTTTCCTTAAAAAAACCCGAGCGCGGCACCCCGTTTGTTACCGTTCTTGCTGGGGAGAGAAAATAGTTTTGTCTTGCGATGTTTCTTTTAGCCGAGAGTTGAAACGAGTTTCAGGCAAGGCAATAATCCGCGAGTTTGGGGATTGCGTGCAGAGCTGGACGATGAGATTTTTATTTCTCCTTTTGAATTAAAACTTTGCTTCTGACAACACTGTCACAGTGACAGCGGATACGTGTTCCTGAGACGGTTTTTCATCAAGGAGGCTCAAAATGGGGGTAATCTCGAGACCTCGTCTTAGCGTAAATGAGCTTTAAAAAGAAGCAAGTAACACAAGGTAGTCACTCAGCTCTGCATCTGGGTTATGAGTTGTTTTCCATAACACAGCTTCATCTCCTAAAAATAATGAAACCTTTGGTCATAATTTCCTACTGAGCTCTAGTAGGAGCTGATGAAAACTAAAGGAAAGATGTTTTTCACTAGAAATGGTGATGTGAAAAACAGTTCTCTTAAATCATCAGGTGCATTCAAAATCCCATGACATATAGAAGTTCTTTCTCTGCATCCCTCGTTTTTGGAATCCTTGTACTAATATTTTAATTAACCATACCCCCATTTTTTTTCCTACAGAATGCTTCTTTTGGTGAAGAACAGTAGATAAACATATTCATTTCTATGCTCTTATTTTAAGATGATTTATTTGTGTGCCTACTTTTACACTATAGTTCAGGAATTTTGTCATTCAGAAAAAGTAATTTCACAAAAAGAAAAACAAAATTATGAAAAACAGAAGTAAAACTGCAGGGTTTCCTTTAATAAAATAATATAAATCTAGTGGCTTAATCAAACAATTTTGTCCTCAAAACTGCTGAGAGAAGCAAGGGCATGACTTTTTCCAATGCATGAGTTTTATGATGTGGGATAAATTGAATACATATTCAGACGATTTTTTTCTTGGGACGACTTGGATAGAGAAGTGTCATGTTTGAACATCTGTAGTCTACTGTCAGAAAGAATAGGAGACCCTTGTTCTTGTCTCATGATTATAAATGCAGTAATTTGGCTTCTTTCACTTTATCTTTTGATAGTGTAATATCATACACTGTCTTGTGAAGTTCTGATGATTTGGAGTTCAGCTTTCAGAACTTGTCAGGCGTACTGGATTATCATGACTGGGATGCATCTAAAGTGTGAGAGACTTCCAAGAGATGTGGTGGCATTTCAGAGGCCTTTTTTCTGGAGAAGGCAAACAGCAGAATAACATCATATGAGAGAGTATAAAAACAGGTGGTCATGTGGATTTTTATTTGTTCTGATGCTGTATTTCACAGTAGTTTCATCTGCTGAACCCACTGTGAATTTTGGGCTGTGAAGTACCTTGTCACAGAAGTGAATCTATTGGGAAGAACACACACCACCAGGGAGAAATTTCTGGGTGATAGTTCTGTAGCATACATATTTCCTTCAAATTCTGTATCTTATTTAATTCTACTGACAGAGTCACTCCACTGGTAGCTTTACCTTTAAATTCTTTTTGATCCTTTGCAAATACATTTTCCTGGGTTTAGTCTAGGTCTTTTTCTTTCTTCCAAACACTGATGTAGTAGCACAGTCCTGGAGCAGTCTATATGCTTTCCTAAAAGTTCCTTTTCCTGGTCCTCCCAAATTTTGACCATCTGCACGAACTTTGTAATTACTTTTTCTTTTCACAACCATAGACAGTTAGTTTTAGGCTCAGCAAAGAAGGAAATGCAGAGATTTTGCAAATGTTTCCAGGTGGAGAAGGGGAAGGAGAAATAAGTTTAATTCTTTAAATTTAGTGGAGAATTTAAAAAAAAAAAAAAAAGTTCATTACTTCAAATATTATTGTCAAGAAAAAAGATCCTAACCATTTTTTTTCTTATATGAAGTTTTGTACAATGATGTACTCAGTAAAACCAGAATTACTTCTGTCTCCTATTTTAATTAAAAATAAAAAAAAGGCAAACAGAACTTTTATTAAATACCAATTTGCCTTGGGGCAATTGGTTGAAGAATCAGGAGCACAGGTAATGATTTCCTTGATCCTTCCAGTAACAGAATATTTATTAAATACAGTGAACTGGGATATTTAGAAGTGATGTACCAGGAGGAAGCTTCTTTCTCCTCCTCCTAAAAACTTAACAGGTAAGACTGGTACCTTATACAGCAGGTATGAGTCCCTGGAACTAGAGGGCCAGACAACTGATGAGGCAGGCAAAGGTTCTTCTGGGGCAGAGGGGCCTCCTAAAGCAACACCATCTGTACCCTGCATCACAACCACCTCCACTGAGAGGAAAGGAAGGGTAGTTGTAATGGGAGACTCCCTTCTAAGGGGAACAGAGGGCATGATGTACAGAGTGGACTCAACTCACAGGGAAGTCAACAGGAGCTCTGTTGGCAGGAGAAAGAGAGCCAGCAAAACCTGAACTCAGGACATTAGGAGAGCAGACTTCAGGCTGCTCAGGGAATTAAGTAAAGTAAAATCCTCATGGATTAGTAAGTAAAATCCTCATGGAAAATGTTCTTGCAGGTGCTGGAGCCCATCAGTGCTGGTCACTCTCTAAACCCTGTCTCCTAAGGGCACAGGAGCAGAAAATCCATAAACAGAAGTCAAGCAGACAAGGCAGAAGACTGGCTTGACTGAACAGGGAAATAAGGTGAAAAAGGAAGGTATATGCCCAGTGGAAGCAAGGTCAGCTGACATGGGAAGAATAGAGATGCTGCCTGCTGCTGTAGGGAGAAAATTCATGTGGCCAAAGCTCAACTGGAGTTGAAGCTGGCCAGAAATGTGGGGGACAGTAAAGAGTTTTTTCAAATACATTAATGGCAATAGACAGTATAGAAATATCATTGACCCATTAGAGGATGAGGATTGTCACCTCACAAACAGGAACAAGGCAGAGGTGTTTAATGCTTTCTTTGCCTCTGCCTTCAACACGGATGATGAACCAGGAGGGTCTCAGTGCCCTGAGCTGGAGGACCATGACTGTGAGAATGACCAACTCCCAGTTGACCCTGAAACTGTGCAGGATCTGCTGATCCAGCTGGATCCCTACAAAAATCTATGGGACCTGATGGGGTTCATCCCAGAATCCTCGAAGAGCCAGATGACGCCATTGCAAAACCTCTCTCAATGATTTTTTAGCACTCTTGGGAATCCAGCTGGGACCTGGGAAGCTGGTGAATGTTGTCCCAGTTTTCAAAAAGGGTAGGAAGGAGGACTCCAGAAACTACAGGCTGTCAATCTCATGTCGGTGCTTGGTACAATCATGGAAAAGATTATTCTGGGAAGTATTAAAAATCACCTGGAGGACAGTGCAGTCATTGGTCACAGCCAGCACAGCTTCATGAGGAGAAAGTCTTGTCAAACCTGATTTTCTTCTACAACAGGGTAACCCACCTAGTTGATCTAGGAAAGCCAGTAGATGTAATCCTTTTGGACTTTAGCAAAGCTTTTGGTACCGTCCCACACAGTATCCTTCTGGATGAAACACGCAGCACACAGCTGGATAACTGTGCTATGTAATGGGTGAGCAACTGGCACACAGGTTGGGCACAAAGGGTTATATTGAAGGGAATATCATCAGGCTGGTGACCTGTCACTAGTGGGGTTCTGCAGGGCTCCATCCTTGGCCCGGTTCTCTTCAACATCTTCATTAATGATTTGGACACAGGACTCCAAGGAATATTAAGTTTGCCAACAACACTAAATTGGGAGGAGCTGTTGACTCCTTAAAGGGCAGAAAGGCTCTGCAGAGACCTCAAAAAATGAGATGAGCAATCCCCTGCCATATGAGGTTTAACAAGGGCAAGTGTTGGATTTTGCCTCTGGGGTGGAGCAACCCTGGTTGTGTGTATAGACTGAGGAGCAAGAGACTGGAGAGCAGCGGTGCAGAAAAAGACCTAGGGGTACTGGTTGATGGCAAGTTGAATCTGAGTCACCAGTGAGTGCCCTGGCAGCCAGGAGGGCCAACCATGTCCTGGGGGACATCAGCAAAGCGTCACCAGCCAGTCAAGGGAGGGGATTGTCCCACTCTGCTCTGCACTGGTGTGGCCTCACCTTGAGCATTGTGTGCAGTTTTGGGCACCACAATATAAGAAAGACTTTAAGTTATTAGAGAGCATCCTAAGGTAGGCCATGAGGATGGTGAAGGGTCTGGAGGGAAAGACTTATGAGTAGAGGCTGAGATCATTTGGTCTGTTCAATCTGGAGAAGAGGAGACTGAGGGAAGACCTCATTGTGGTCTTCAACATCCTTATGAGGGGAAGCAGAAGGTCAAGTACTGATCTCTTCACTCTCATGACCAGTGATAGGACTCAAGGAAACCACATGAAGCTGAGTCAGAGGAGGGTTAGATGTCAGGAAATCTTTTTCCCCAGAGGATGCTTGAACACTGGAACAGGTTCCTCAGGGAAATGGTCACATCACCAAATCTGACAGAGTTCATAAAGTGCTTGGACAGTGCTGTCAGGCATATGGTGTGATTCTTGGGGTTTCCTGCACAGGGCCAGGAGTTGGATTTGATGATCCTGATGAGTTCCTTCCAACTCAGCGAATTCTCTGGTTGTATGATTCTATGAAACTTTCCCAAAGTTCAGTCAGGAATTCAGAGATACATTTTTCTCCAATTCTGGTATGGATAAATGCTTTCAAGAAGGTCCTCTTTATGAGCCCATGTGACTTATGGCCCATTCTATGCCCTATGGAATCATAGAATGATTTGTGTTGGAAGAGTCCTTCAAAGATTATCTAGACCAACTTTGTTGTCATGGGTTGCGGCATCTTTCACTAGACCAGGTTGCTCAAAGACCCAACCTGGCTTTGAAAT